AAGAAGACCCATATTATGGCATTTGTATATAGCCATAGCAACCATTAGAAGATTCCCCAAAATGAAAACAAGGCATTGGATTGGAGCCTGCTCACCTTCAATCATTTGAAGAGCTAAAAAGGAGCACAAAACATAGTTTTCGAACTTGTAATGTGGGGGGAGAACCCTGGCCATAAAAGCGAAGATATGAAAAAACATTCTGACGATCTTATCATAAACTAGCAAGCCTATGCTGAGCAAAAGTAAATTCCGTAGCTTGTAGCGAAAATTTTTAAAAACCCAAAAACACAACTAAATACTTGTTTGCATTGAAAAGAGCACTTGTATGGGCCGTGTAAACATCATGTAGACCATAATTATCGGAAAAATCGAAATTGAGTTTCCGGTCATCCACATGATAAAAAGGTTCATTGGAATCTGACGGAGAGGACCCAAAGCAATATCCCAGCTCCGCTTAACCTTCAACTGCGGATCCTGCTCACGCGTCTCAGAGTGGGGAAAAGTTCTGTCGCTAAAACCTACGGGCTGAATCGATTGTTCGCAAGGTCCATTAGTAGTGAGACCGGTTCGCGAGCGAGAATTGAAATCAACACACCAGCGTTTTGACACCAGTTTGGTCAGCTCAATCTGAGCACTTGCATTCTTATTCAAAGGCTTAAGACTATTCATGTCTTAAAATTTAAATCGGTGAGTGGTTCACATTAACGTACCAACCGCAGGAGCACTAGGCAGATGGGCCTCCAATTCTGATTGGATTTATAACCATAATTTGATAAAAGCAAACACAATAATATATATTAAAACAAAAACTAAAATTAATATAAATAAATAGTTAAAGTTAAAAAACAGTTTTAAACTTAAATAGCAAAAAAGTATAAAATAAGTAGCCAATAAAAATACAGGAGTGCGAGCTATTGTGTCAACTGACATTTAATTGCATGGTCGCGTAACTTAGTGTGCTTTGACCCGCTGAATACTTGTACGGAGCTTTTAGCATGGGTTCAGTCGATGATTCATTTAATTTACAGTCAGGGGGCTACGTTGGTAGCATTGAATGCGCTCGAGCTGGTATGAGTATTGACCAGTTATCACCGTATTTATAGGCACCGATATTGAGAGGCTGGCGCTACGGATTAGCCTTGCTGATATTGACGAGCAGTTTGAGAAAGTGATACAGAAGTCGTTAGTTTTCATTTTACGATATTTGGCGAAGTATGATGATCATCGGAGGAAGGTAGGACTCCTATGTGGACGTAATTTTCAGCTTTTGGAACTGTTGGGGGATGTTACGCGTCGCTTAAAACGGCGCTCCAATATACAGCTTCCCGTTCATGAGCTTTTTGTTGCTTATAATGATCCGGAAAACTCAACATACCTTACAAATTTCTCTCATATGTACATCCGTTTGGGATATCCTCGTATGCCAGTAACTGAACAAATTTGTCTTCTTCCAGTATTATTTGCATCACTGACAGAAAATAAGCCTATAGTCCAGCGAGATGTGTAAGATTTGGTGGTACCTGTTCGCACAGTATTTTTATTAGTCTTTTGCATCTGACCCTTCCCATTATTGGCGGTGTTCCTGCTGACGCACGCAATAGGCTAGAACTGGAACTTCATGAACTGCCCATGCAGCGGAGGTTCATTAATGAATTTTATTCATTAGTTTTGCTGTTGCCATACACGTGAGTTTCTCTATTACCTTGCCACTATGTTTGATCTATGCTCCTCGTGAGTCATTTCTTTAGTTTTGAGCGTCATATCCGCTTTGACACCCTGGCAGTCGCTATTCCAGAGGGATTTAATGCATACGACTACAGTAGAGTCGCCCATGAGCGCTTTTCTGCCATTCACTCTGCTTCAGACCTCGAAAAGGTTTGTTATTTTCTGCCATATTTCTATGCTAGAGTTAATTTTTCTTCGTTATGGAAAGTTTCTCGTTATTTTTTAAGTACAAGGTTGCCATAGTACAGTTTTATAGCCGCGGATTTTTCCCAACCGACGAAAGCATTGTTCCTCTGCTCTTTGCTGATGCAGATTCACGGCACTCAGTTGTCTCTGCCGCAAACAAGGAGGTTCGAATGTTGAGCGTGTAAGTGATATTTCTTAATCGTAGAAGAGTGAGATGTGCGGACAGCAGAATCTTACGTACGATATACTTGCTGGATTTCAGCCTTGTGGATTGGGAAAATGAAGCTCTTCTTTCTCGAATTTTTGACTGGTATCTTGGTCGACGCCGAGAGTTTGACCCGAAAGTAAGTCTGATAATTAGTCTTTCGATTTTTCGACTCTCTTGTCTATGCGTTTCCTCCTCCTCCTCCCTCTCCTTTAGGGTCTTTCGGATCCTCGTCAGCCCCTGAGTGCAGGTGTTCGAATAAAACTCGGGCACTTTTTGCTTCGATCCCGAATTACGCTTACAGGTACTTTGGCACCGGATCTAATAGAAGCCGCGGTACTCAGTTTGAAAGGAGTGACAAGTTGCAAGGAACCGGCGAAACCTCTATCTGCTGCTCCTTCACAGCAACCCCAGCAGCAGCAGCAGCCGTCACAACTTGTTTGTCCAACACATGGGATGAAGGCAGAGCAGACTCAACAGCAGCAGCAATCTTCGGCGGATTCCACATCCGCATCTGTTTCTGCAGCTCAATGCTCTCATCGCGCAGGACAGAGCGTCCAACGCCGGCTTGCTAATCATGGCCTCGACTTGCTGGCGCATTTGCTCGATAAGTTAGTCACCTTTTTTCGCCTCTAAAATCTTCTAAAAATACTGCAAATTTGTGCTCCATTTATTGCACTATTCTGTCTTCTCCGAGATTGTTACTGATTTCTCTTCGTTTTAGTGCTACCTCTATTCCACCGGATGCGTCCGTCCGTGCTCTTGGAAGTCTCATTGAATTTGTTTATGAAGGTACTTCTGACGAGGTTAGCCGTTATTTTTTTGGCTGTTGCCAATTAATAGCATTCGTTGTTTATACTTAGTAAGCCAAATCCACTTTATTCTATCCAACTTTATTATGCCTTTACTTAGATAATCTGTGGTGTGTTATTTTACAACTTTGTCTCCATGCCACTTTTGCTTCAGCTTGTTCCTGCAAGGGCACGAGGCTTTGAACTCCTATCTCGCTTTTTGTCCCGCGAGCCGAATTACCTCCTCAAAGATCCATCACAGCTTCCTCGTCTTTTCGACGTTCTTTCAGAGGTAGGCTCTGTACTGATTCTTTTTTCTTTGAGCTAATTCGTTGTGTAAAGCATCGAACGCCTTGAGGCTTTTTTTTGCATACCGATAACGATTACTCTTGATTCGACATTTCGTTCACATGAAACTCCTATTTACATTGTCTCTAAATTTAGTCAGCAGCCTGAGCTTAAATTTGTAACAATAAAAATTCTGTGCCTTTTGCGTAATTTTAGGGTTGTCTGACCGCTTTCACATTTCCAAGATTTGTGTGCTGTCCATACCTGTTTACTTGGATCTTACAGTAATCAGAAACGCATGATTTTTTCACTTTCTTCTTGTTTAGGACATTGCCCCAGATTTGAAAACTGCAGCTGCCCACTGTCTTCGTCGCCTTGCCTTTACTTTCCAGGAGGCTCAAAGGCAAAATTATCCCGCTCTGAGGAATCAGCTTGCCAAACTTGAGCGTCTCCTCTTTGAGAACATGGAGAGAGTAAGACTTTGTTGTTGATCAAGGTCTAAATGGCACAGGGATGTTTTTTGTAATCTGTAGTTCTAATTTTAAGGCGGACCCTGTTAGTCGTTTGGTTGCCGTTCACTTCGCAGGTATTATCTATCCTCCTGATCACATTCCGACTCGTTATCTCATTCTTCAGGCTCTTGGTGATAAGTAAGTTCAATTTTACCATTTTTGAATTACCCGGAGGTAAATAATTAAACCGGGAATTCCTGATAGAACTTGATGGTATCATGTCGAGAGAATTGGGTCGTCATTGTCCTATTTGTCCAGACTGTGTGCCAGTGTAAAGGAATTTGCATTTTCCCAAGCCATTGTTGTATCGGAAAGTTCTCCACGACGATATTTTCGGTAACCTATCGTTTCTTCTCGTAATTGCATTGAGGTGCCTAAACCGCTCTCAAAGTCGTATTTTGGGCACCTCCAGCGAATGCCTCAACTTATGGCTCGGAAATGACTCGTTACTTATTGTTCTCAGTAGCGTGTCATGTAGTTTTTGCGACACTACATTTCTTGTACTGCCCTTTCTGTCTACTGGTCCTTTTCTACTTAACGCGTTCATTCGGTTTTCACTGGGAGTGGACCCCCTCGGCAGCATTAAGAACTGTATGCTTTTAGTAGAACCATGAGGCTTGTAGTGTGGAGCAATATCGCATTTCACACCCTCTTTATTGCTAGTTGGGGAAGGAGTATATTGGGTAGCTGAACCGCGAATTGAATACCGAAATCATACTCGGTTTCATTAATTTCGCGAAAGTTATTGCTGATAAAGGCAAGGAAGTGGCTGTACATCTTGAGCTAGCTTGTAAGCATCAAGTAAAAGTTGGTTCTACTCCTGCATCGAATAGATGTTTTGTTCCCATCACGCGCGTACTTTTTTTGCTCTAAAGAGACCAAAGAGTGCGAAATGAGGCTCGCATGGTGTTCTCCATTTTCCTTGACCCCAACATAGCAAACGACATCGTGTACGGACGCGTCAAATTACCATCTTTTGTGGAGTTTGTCAATCATGTAAGCCTTAGTCGTTTTTTGACACCTATTTCCCTACACTTGATAAGTAGGTTCTTTCACCTGTACAGGATACGCAGCATATTCGGAAGAATCCTTTCATCGATGTGGAACGCCTCATTCCCGTAAGCACTTCCAGCTATTTTTCGTGTTCACACTAGTCTCCATGCTCCGTAACTATAACACTGGGCCAATTGTACCGCCTACCTTTAGCTCTCTAATCTGTTATAGACCCCATCTTAAATAGATATCATTCCCCTGAGCCACTTAATGCACTTTTGGTCCTTCTGTTCTCGGTCACTACGAGCAGGCACTAATCCTTCCTTCATGGGTTACGAACTGCAGCACTTCCTCCGATCCCTAGATTAAGTATTTGCTTCATGTATCACTTCAATTGCTTCTATTAGACATTTCGCTACTTTTAGCTTGACCATATCAAATCTCATCTGCATCATTTTGCGTTCCTATACTCGTAATAGAGGAATATTGCAGTGTAAAATTGAGGTATCGAGTTTGCTGTATTGACTGTTGACAGTCAGAAACTGAATTTGTTTTCTTGTGTTCAAGTTACACCTAATGGGGAAATTGAGCACATTATTATAAGATCCAAATTAATTAACTACTTTCAGAGTTAAAATACATGCTTTGATCATAAAGCATTCTATTTTGGACAGTAAAGAAGAATTTCTGGCCTTTTGAGCGTTCAAGTAGTTCTTTTCTTTCTTCCCACTCACTGTAGGTGGTTCAATTCATCCGACTTTGCCTTCTGGCTGTGAAGGGAGGTCTAACCTCAGCGCAGGAGAAGGAAATGATATACGAAACAGATGATGAGATTCGTTACCGCATTAACCAGAATGTGCGCTACCTTTTATCTCTGACAGCGCCATCTTCCACGTCGGCGGGGTCTTCTACCAAAGGGGCGGAGGGATGCATCAGTGATGCGTCTGCAACTGCTGCACACGGTGGACTGCTGCAACCCAATCCCGAGCAGGCGCGCCGCAGCATCGCCACCTACTTTCGTCTCATTCATGTGGTCATCTTTGCTCGCTGCCAGTCGCCCTGGGACTGTACGTTTGTATTTGCTTCTGCGATATCGTTTTCGTTTTTCTGTAGCTGTTGACTATCTCGCTCTCTAGCATTATTTCATTTATGAAAAATCGCCCTTTCCTCTTTGTAGTGAATTATTACTAAACAGTTGTTTTTATTTATATCCTTCTTTGTTGAGGAATTCCAAAGCTTTTTTGGATCTTGCGCTTTGTTACCTTAATACCAATTTTGAGAACGATTTGGTAACTGGGGTGAAATGGCCATGATTCATGCCTCATACTTCATTTCTACTTTATTGGTAAAGCACTTCTATTATTCATCCTACCTTCTATAAATGTTTCTGTCTTTCATCCTTCGTCATTACCATCGCTTCGTCTGCGATGGCAAATCTGGTGCTTTGCTGTTTCGTAAATATGAAATTTCAATAACAGCTACTCCTGTTGAACTTAATCCAAAGTGCACATTCAACTTACTTTTTCCTTGTCCATGAACTTCTCTCACCAATTTCTTAAAACTGTTTATGGGTCTTCACTCTAAAGCTACTAAATCGTGCTCCTGTAGGTATTTAGGTGAGGCGTTTTTAAACTGCGTTCCAAACATTTGTATTCAATGCTTATGCGTTGCTTTATACGTACTAACTAAACTTATGGAAGACTTATGCAAGGAATTCATTTCCTTTATCTGCAGCTCCGGAATTTCCCAATTTTATGGAAGAGGTATTGATAAATAATACACGTGAGTTGGCCGTTGGAGGAAAAAACATACTGGATCAGATAAACGTAAGTTTGGAAGGGTGGCGATCACTGTTAACATTTTTATCTATTGTGTACAATCGTGCGCTCACTGGTCCACGTATTTTTCTGTTACAGAACCTGTTGTTAGGCACTGCACGTGGTGCAAACTGTCGTCACGCCTGCGCCTCCATTTTCTCCGCGGTCACAATGGAGACAGAGCAACCAGCGGAGGCACTGCAGATCGCGATGGGAATGCTTGATAAGGTCCCAAAGGGCTCAGTTGCAGTGGATGTGGAAAGTTCGCATCACATACAAGGCATGATGATGGGTGTGGCATACTTGTTGAAACACCTGCACGACAGGCACTGCTCATCCCAACCCGCTGGCTCCAGTGCCGTTGCAAACAGCGCCGGGACAAACGTCAACACTACCAGTGGTGGTGGTGGTGGTGGTGGTGG